TGGAAGATCTCTAGGGAGAGATATTTCTTAGTCCAATCCTTGAGATTCTCTGCCTTCTCTATGAGAGAGAAAAAGAAGCTAAGGTTCTCTACCTTCTCCAGGAGGCAGAAAAAAATGAGTCAAGGTCTTCTACTATCACCAAGAGGGTGACATAGCGTATGACACTCGCCACATCAAAGGTTTGGTGAAAGTGAGTATGTAAGGTTTTTATAACTTATTGTGAGATATATCAAAATGAGAGTTACTTTGTTTCAGTGCAAATTTTCAAAACGGAGGACTCAGGGGAGTAGACGTAAGTCAAGGTTGACCGAACTACTATAAAAATATATGATGCATTTTTTCCTTTTTATAGTTTTACAATTCTTGCATTTCATTTACGTTAATAACTATTTGTGATAAATACTGATTATTGCTCTATCATATAGATCAAAATTTCATGGTAGTAAAATTTAATATTTTTTATAAAATCTCTTGCTTTTGCAATCAGTTAGGATTTGATATTTTCAATTACTGAAAAGTTTTTTAAAAATATTATTATTGTTATTTTGAAGTTAATAAAACTTTTTAAAGCACCAATTCACCCTCATCTTGGTAAGCCTCGGGCTAGTTCCATAAGGTTTAACAACCTTCACAACTTTTAAATGATATCAGAGATGGATTTCAAAAATAAGGTTTTAGAAAACTTTTAAAAAATCAATCAATGTCTCATATTGGTAATTATAACATTGCAGAGGGTTATTCTATAACTTGTCCACTACTGTTTGAAAATATTTCTTTCAATTTTTAGAAAATACGCATGTTTATCTTTTAAAAATCCAATTTGACTTCAAACTGGCTATTCACTTCCATCGTATGTAGTTAATGGTGTCAAAATTGATATTTATTTATTGAATGGAGCAATGATGATAGAGAACTCGTACAGTTAAATGCTAAGTATCTCAATTATTTCTTTTGTGCTTTCAAATCTGAAGACTATATACGAATTTCTACACGTACTACCAGGAAAGAGATTTTGGATAAGTTATATATCACCTATAAGGGAACTAGTGAAGTTAAATAGTCTAGGATAAACATACTACTACATGACTATCAACTCTTTCACATGAAATATAGTGAGATTGTATCTAAAATGTACACTAGGTTCTCCCATATGGTAACATCCTTATATACACTAGGTAGAGAACTATTAAATTCTAAAAAAATTAATAAAATTCTATATTGTTTACCTAGTTCTAATGATGCTAAAATAACTATAATCACTGAATCTAAAAACTTAAATATTTATTTCATTGATAATTTTCTTAGGTCACTCATTGCCAATGAGTAAGGAGAGAGTCAAAGGCAACGTGGTGTAGGAGAGAAAAAGAAGGAGAGAACTGTAACACTAAAAATAAATGGTTCTTATAATGACAATTCTACAGAGGAGTAGGATGGTGAAATAGCCTTGATGATGCACCAATTCAAGAGCTTTCTAAAAAGAAAATAGAGGCATCATCAAAATAAATGGAGCAAAGGTAAAAGCCATAAAACTACTAAAATTTTGACTAACATAATTTGCTTCGAGTGCATAAAACCAGGCCACCTCTAACCTGATTTTCCCAACCTAAAGACTCACCCAAATAAGGAGAAGGGTGAAAAGAAGCTAAATAATAAGAGGGGCAAGCAAAAGACACAAAAAAATTGTTTTGGGCTGACTCTGCCTTAGAATCATTAAAAAAAGAAGTAGAGGAGGATGCAACAAACCTGTGTCTTATGGCTAACAAAAACCTTGATTAATCAGATCAATATGAGGTATGTCAACTCTCTTAAGAAAAATTATTTATTATTTAAAAAAAATCATGATTCATATAGGAAGCTCAAGAAGATGTATACTAGTCTTAATACTGAATTTTCTATTTTGTAAAAAAGAGTATACTAATTTAATTACTGAGCACTCTACATTAGATAGTTATCATATGACTTTATTAGATTAGTTTGATGCAATAAATAAGAAACATATTGACCTATCTAATGCACATAATTCCTTAAAATTTATATATATTGAACTAAAAACATTTAAGGAATTTGATGAAATTGTATTTCAATTAGATAGTAAAGAGCATGCATTAAAACTAGAAGTGGAAAACTATAAAAATGCAAATGAATTTTTAGGAGAAAAAATCATTACACTTGAGAATAATAAACCATCACCAACATTAGCTCAATGGTATAACCCCTCAACACAACATGCATCACCTAATCCTAGGAGACGGCACCATGACCTACATAGGTTAGTAAACCCATTTAGTGGAGTTAGGTGTTACTCTTGTGGCATGTTAAGACATATAACCCACACATGCACTATCAATTGTAGGACACACTTAGTGTGGAGGCCAAAATTACATGCATGATTAGTTTAAATGAAAAACTTATGTTAGAAAAAAAATGGATAAATAATGTTTATATGTTAGACTTGAATTACATTGAATATTCAAATTCATTATACCTAAAAACTATAATTGATAAATCTTGGCTATAGTATAGGGGACTATGTCATGCGAGCATGAAGACTCTTAAGAATTTCACCCAGAAATACCTAATTAGAGGTATGCCTAAGTTAGACTTCATGAAGGACTGCCTATGTGATGTCTGCCAAGTAGGAAAAAAAATAAGATATTCATTTCATTTAATTAAAGACATTAACACCTCTAGGCTACTAGAAATCCTTCACATTGATCTATTTGGACCTATTAGTATAGCCAACTTAGGAGGGAAGACATATGGATTTGTAATAGTGGATGACTACTCTAGATTTACTTGGGTTAAATTCCTAACACATAAGAGTGAGTCATCTAAGGAATTTAGAATATTCTCCACTTGGATTTAAAGAAAATTTGGATGTGAAATCTCAATAATCTATAGTGATTAGGTGAAGAGTTCAAAAATGACAAGTTTGAATCCTTCTGTCAAGAGATAGGAATAGAATATAATTTTTTTGCCCTAAGGACCTGCCAGCATAATGGAATAGCTAAAAGGAAAAATATAACCTTGAGGGAAGCTACAAGGGAAATGCTAGCTAAGTATTCACTTCCTAGGTATTTTTGGGCAAAGCAGTGAATACTGTTAAGTAGGGTAAATGCTAGATCCAAGCTTAATTAGACACCCTATGAACTTCTTTAGGGTAGGATACCCAATCTTTCTCACTTACATGTCTTTAACTGTAGATGCTTCATCTTAATCAATGGAAAATCACCCTAAAAAAATTTGATACCAAGTTTGATGAAGGTGTCTTCTTAGGTTACTCATCTATAGGTAAGGACTATAAAATCTTTAATAAGAAGATTTTGGTAGTGGAAGAGTTTACCCATGTGATATTTGATGAATCATATAAGATATCTAAACCTAAACTTGAAGAAGAAGAAGTGGTGGTCATTCAAGGGGTATAAATTATTGTTATAAGAGATAGAGTAGAACCTCAAGAAAAATTGCCTATAGATTGAAGATATTTTTCTAGTCATCCTAAATAACTTATTTTATGAGACCCATCTGAAGGTGTTAGAACTAGGCATGGACCTACGAAGGAGGTTAGTCATTCAACCTTTATCTCTATGATAAAACCCACCAACATAAATCAAGCCATAGCTAATGAATCTTGGATCCTAGTAATATAAAAAGAGCTAAACCAATTTGTTAGAAATGATGTATGAGAATTAGTCAAGAGACCTAAGGACCATTGTGTTGTTGGAATAAAGTGGGTTTTCAAAAAAGAGCCTACTGAGCAAATTTTGCTCACCCATGTTATTTACAAGTCAGTTCAGGAAAGGATAAGGCATCAATCGAGTAGGCCCAATTGATAAATGTTCAAGTACAAGTCATAGTTCTTTTTTTATATAAGTGTAATCTTTTGACAATTCAGTGATTTTATGCTTGCAAATTCATGTGAGATAAGAAATATACCTATATTATTGTCCAATTTTCTTTTAATAAGATGAATGAAATGAAAATATTTATATTTACTATAATTTAAGGATTTTAGATGGCTTCGTATCATTAATATTAATGAAATAGAATAATTCTTTAATTAGATCTTAGGGCATGAAGATTCTTATATCTTTTTTTAAATAAGATATTAACAATAATAAAATCATAAGCTAGAGTAAAATCTAATGCAGTCTTACCACATTCATTAGTCGTTCCAAATTCATAGCCACCATGAATGCTTTTAAAATCCTCTACCTCTCTACCAAAAATTCCATTTAAATCTCCCACAATAAAAACTCTTTTTTTCAAAAGATATCTTTTGCATTAATTCTTCTAAGTCATTTCAAAATTTTAATTTTGAGTACATATCCAAACATACTTTAGAAGTATAAAATCTTATAATATTAATAATCTTTTCATCAATAATAATCTTCAAAGCTATAATTATATTCTAATTCTACCAATTTTCACATTTTTATCTTTTGAACTCTTATCTATAATAACACTTATACTATTTCTAGTTTGACTCATACCAGAATACAAAAGTTAAAACCTAAACTATCAATCTCCTTAGCCTTCTCTCTAACCCATTTAGTTTCTTAAATGCACAAAATATTTATAATCCTATGAATCATAGTATCAATTAATTTTATTAATTTCCTTATAAGGGAACATACATTCGACGATCCTAACATAATTTTAGTTTAATGGACTAACTTCTTTGCCCACATCGGTCTATAATGTGAAAATCGTTGCCTAATTAATATTGTATCCATATGTCGATGCAATGACCTTGCACACTTTTCACTGTATTCAGGTCATAAAACACGTCACTTCCAGGGAACACCCTAACTTGCCTATTTTAATGGTAGTACCATAATATACTATTTAAAGAAAAAATGCATAATATACTATTAATGCCCTAACAAAATATTCTTGAAATGTGTCTCAACATCTTATTTTCATGTACAAATTCAAATTTAGATCCACATCAGGATTGTTTTGGCGTTTTTTTTTTGAATCAAATCAATGTTGTTGCGGAAAAAAAAAAAGGCGAGCGTGTTGCGGCTTGGATGGAAACAATGACTTTTCCATCAAAAAGAACGGGCAGCGAGAATCGGCGTGTTTTGGACGTGGCGGATAGCATCGATTCGCATATCGCCGTCTTGTGAACAGCTACCGGCTCTTTTTTTTTAGCTCCTTCCTCTCCAGTTCTTCTGTGAAACGCGGTGAGTGGGTTGAGCTATAGAGGATTGAGAGATCACCCGCAGTCACAAATAACATAATGGGCGGCGGCGGAGGTAGCAGTGGGAATGGTGTTATTGCGGCGCCTGGGATCCCTTCAGGGGCGAGGAAGATGGTGCAAAGTCTCAAGGAGATCGTGAATCTCCCTGACCAAGAGATCTATTTCACGCTCAAGGAGTGCGGGATGGACCCTAGCGAGGCCGTACAACGCCTCCTTTCCCAAGGTGCGGCCTGGTTCCCTCTACATCTTTCCTTTCTTCGCCTCTGTCTCCTTGTGCATCTGTTTTTCAGTATCTGTTGCATTCGTGGAAACCCTAGGGAAATGAAAGTTAGGGGAGAAGGGGCGTTTGCAGTGAGTTGGTTGCTTTCGCGGTTGTATTGGGATGGTGTGGCGTGGTGGACTAAAGTTCTGCTTGATTGTATCAAGGGAATAAAGGGGTCTACGCCTTTAACCCCTAAATCCGAGATGCAACCAGATGGCCCCTTTGTGTTTTTTGGTAGTGTTCCGGTTCCGAATTAGTGAGAAAGGACTTGTTTTTAGGTGTGCCTAAGTCTTGTTCTTTCGAGCTCGTTTTTCCTGAAAGGTGTTCACTAGCTGGACGGAAAGATTACTTTCCTTACTCTTCTAAACTCTTAGTTGATTATGATACTTCATGCCGGGCGTTATCACTTGGTAATGTCTATTATTGTTATTGAGCACTTCAGCTCTGTGCACTCAATTTGCACTCTTTTGCCTGCATAGTGTAGTCTGTTACTGCTCCATTGTGTCATAGTCATGGTCTAAACTATAATATGTGCTTGACAGATAGCTGTCTATACACCAATGATGGGTGTATGGATACTAGAGAGGAAATGAGTCATGGGGCTCTCCCCTAATCAGTACGAACCTAAGTGTATGTATAATTATTGTATCTTTACTCTTGAGGAGAGTGTTGTCTTCTACTTAAATTTAAAATGTAATATGCCATGCTAATGTGTCGTGGTCGATGCAAATGTATGATTCAGGTTCTTATGAGCATATTAAACCATCTATGCACCTAGGAGCTCTCACAACGTTTTGAAGCTATCCAAACCTCTTTTTTAAAGTATTTTTAAATTTTTCACAAAGTGGCCTCACCATTTACTGAGGTTTTTTTGCATCAATTTTTTTTTTCTAACGTTTAGCTAACCACGACACTATATTGTCAGTCATTTGAACTTATATGTGAATTGCTCATCTCCTTGGTCTTCTTGCTTATGAGTGGACTTACACGTCCATTCCATTTGCAAGAAAGTCTTTGCACTCACATTGTTAAAAACCTAGTCTTATCAAATTCATCTTGATTCAGTGATTGAAGTTGCTAGCTATGAGGAGGGTTTAAAATTTTCTTTATTTTGTTTTTTAAGAAGTATGAGTAGGGGATGAAGGAAAAGCTGAAAATGAGTCCTTCCATACAAATTTGAACATGCAAACTCACTATCAAACCAGTACAACTTGCTTTGGGAACTCGTAAATAAACTATGGCTGATTCAAATCATTGTTTATTGGTGAATGCTAAGTTGATGCCTTCTATTTTAAAGTAGAAGGATGGTACCACTTGACTAACTTGAGTTGTACTGGAAATGACAATTATGGAAAATTTTGAATATATCATTTTGAGCATTTCTCTCAAAAGAATGATTAATATCTTATTTTGGTTTATTCTGACCATGTCTTAATTCTATTTTAACCAAGTCAATGCTTGGACCAAATTAGGATCTATTTTGATATGGAGGATCTAAGCTGGAAAGGCAAGGGAGGAGACGAAGATAGATTATGACAACAACAATTGTGAACAATAACAATAGCAGTGGTTGTTCATTGGGCTGTGGTGGCTTTGGATGAGAATATGATATGACGAAGTGAATTTTTGTGCATGAGAAGATGAGATAGGGAAGTGATAGGAGAAGAGGGTGAAGCAGTCTCTTTTGTTGCAAAGTGTTGCTTGGATAAGGAAAATATTATAATGAGCATGGAATTTTGATTAGTTTAAATCATGGTTTTAAAAGGCGAAATCGAGAATCTAGGTGTTTTTTCTAAGCGAGGCGTAAGCCTCAAAATGATAAAAATAAGGTAATTTAAAATTATGAATAATGACAAAAAATAACAAATTAGTAGATAATTAGAAGAGAAAATCCAAATTAAATCAAAGACACATGCCAAAAAGAAAGATAAAGCACAATTTCAATCTATATAACCGAGTAGAAGAGAAAATATAATTAAATTAGCAGCACCTTATAATTAAATTAGCAGCACCTTCCAAAGAAGGAAGACAAAGGATATGAATACAACCACAATAGGAAAACAATAATGTGGCATAATGGAAAACATAGGATCCAAACATAGCTACCATAAGGCATATGCTATAGTCCTTGAATCATGATTCTTACTACTGTAGCAAAGCCAAATCAAAGAAGGTAATTGCCAACAGCAATATACCCAACTCCAAGTTGCATGCAAATAAATTGTTACCTTGGCGGGTATCAAGTTAGAGAGGCACGTAAGATAGAGGTCGAAGATGAAGCACATTGAAGTCGAAGCCGAAGATGAAGATGAAGCACCGACTAAAATGGGAAGAAAATCAGGCGAAGAAGATGAAAACAATGGGGGAAGAGAGATGTCGGTGGTAGCAGTGTACACGAAGGAAGGAACGTAACCTTGCTTTGAACTCAACCAAACTTACCTATCGAAGTCGCTTGAAGTAGTGCACATGAAGAAATGATCGACCAAACTTGGCTTGGTTGTTGAAGTCGGCGGAAGCATGAGAGAGTGAGAGAGAATGAACGAGAGAGAATGGAACGACAAAAAGTGCTTCGAAGCAGAAGCCCTAAGTCTAATAAGCGAACACAAACGCACGAGGTGAATAAAAAAGACAAAATGAATCCATGCGCTCCCTCGATGCGCCTCGGAGCCTCACGACTTGAGGCGTACGCCTCCGTGGAAAAAGGCGTAAGCCTCGCCCAGGCGTTCGAGGCTTAAACCTCAATTCGACATCCGCCTCGAGGCGTCCGCCTTGAACGCCTTTTTAATGGTTGGCTTAAATGACATCATTTTAATAAATGTCTGCTATAGAGGAGTTGGTGGAGAAGAGGCATCGGGGCATGTGTTTTCTAATAGTATTTAGCACATAGTCACAAGGTTGGATACAGTGGGAAGTCGATTATATGGTGTCAGTATTAAGATTCTTTTCTTACTATGTCAATTTAGTGCTCACGGAGTATGAGAAGAGGAAAGAAATGAGGAGAGAAACATTGGAAAGAGTGTAAGGAATTTGTGAGTAGGCATGTAGATTGGGTATGTTAGCATTTTATGCCATTGAGTGAGTAAGGCCATTGTTTTAAAATTTTCAAATCAATGTTCGTTATCAATCTTCATTTATACTTGAACCTGGTTTTCGTCAAGTCATGTTGAGACATTTAAATCTGTGAAATGTTTAAAGCAGATCAAGTAATTGGATGGAGTGTAGAATTTACCCATGCAAGGTGAGCTAAGATGCTCATCACCAAATCTAAAATTTGGGCTTGACAATTAGTACTGTATTCTATTTTTTTTTTCATATTATAAAATAAAAAGGAGTCACCATATAGTGAATATTTTAAATATTAAAATCTATTTTAGAATATATATATATATATATAAGGCCAAATCAATGATTCAAGAGAAACATTAAAATATTTAATTGAATATGCTGAAATGAAATGATATGCTGAAATGAAATGTTATTATTTCACCCCCCCCCCTCTTGAGTGTGATAGCTTGTTAACAAAGCCTTATGAATTTAATTTAATATTTCATAGTTATAAATATTATTAAAAAAAGTTAAAAAAATAACTAAATAAATTTCAAAATTCAAAGTTGATTTCCATATGATTTATAATTTCAAAATTCAAAGTTGATTTTCATATGATCTATAGTCTAACTTATATTAAGTGATATAAACTAATAAAATCAAACAAAATGAGATGTTAAAATGAAACAAGACTAGATGAATCAATGTAGGGTTTCAATGAAGATGATGTGGAAAGTGAGCAAGGAAAATGAAAAGCAGCAAGAGGTTCTCTTATGAAGCAAGTGGATATTGTATATAGATGGAATGCAAAGGAGCTGGAGAGCCAGGCTTAAGCCTTTGTTATTTCAGTTGGTTTGTTGGACAAGAGTTAGTTTGATAGTGTCATTTATATTTTATTTAAATAGATGGAGAATATATTTATAATAGATCAGAACTTAGTAATTCTGTAATATAAATTATGTTATCTCATGGGGCTTTTGCCTTGCTAATAGGTTTAAAAAGTAGCCTTGGGCAATGTCTTGGCCCACAGGGACATGGGACGAATGCCACCTCTACATTGCGTTGTCCCAAGTTGAGCCCAAATAAGCTCCGAAAATGCCTTTTAAAATGCTAGTGCATTCATAATATTTTCATCATTGTGGAATGGTTTGATGACCTTCGAAACTTTTTACATCGTGTTCTATTATCTATTTAAAGCAATGCTTCTTTGCAGATTCATTTCATGAAGTGAAGAGCAAACGTGACAAGAAGAAGGAGGTTAGTCTATAGTTGCATTTTTTGCTTTCATGTCCTACTATAAAAGGGCTGAACTTGAACATGCAAATATTAAGAGATAAACTTCTTTTAACATTTCTTTAACTTTATTTTTCTTTGAGAGCACGTTTAGCATTATCCTTATATTTGGCTATTTTTTCTCTATGAATATGATTATTTTGGTTTCCTATAAATTTCTTTACTGTTCTTTCTGCCTTCCTATATGCATTTACAACTATCATTTTGTCACCCTCTAGCAAATTATTTTTAAAATATCCTTCTGTTTATTGTTTTTGGACATGTCTTTTTTACTTAGATAAAAATTGATCAATACTTATTAATTACTTTAGTAATTGTTTTCTGTCTAGGTAAAAGAACTCTCTGAATCTAGGACTCGAACAAATAATAATACTTTCAGTCAGGGAGTTCTCGGTAGTTCTGACTGTGGGCCACGACCTAGTTTCACTCAGAGCAGTTTAAATGGTATGTGGAGATATCTTTTTCTAGTATATCTTTCGTCTTAATGAATTTCCCTTTTTCTCATCAGGTTTTGGAGTCAATCGTGGTAAGGCTCTGCAAAAGAAGGAAGATGGGGTATGCAGTGTTCCATCTTCCTCAAATGTTGGAGCTAGATCTGATATTAATAAAAAATCAACAATCATAAGGTCGATATTGTTTACATGTTTAAGTATGCTTTTGTGCTTATAGAAAATTGAGATTTATATTTAGAATGCTCTCTCTTTGAAAATTGAGACTTAAAGTTTGCCTTTTTAAAATAACTTTGCATAGATTTTATATCCTTTCATATGACTGTTTCTTCCAGGTCCTTCGATTCTTTTTTTCTATACTTTTAGAAATTTGTGAACTTTCTTTGCTATGTTGTATATTCTTTTGGTTATATTTGTATTTGAATAAAAAATTTTCTCCTTTATCCGTTTGGTTCTTTTAAGAGTACATTTGAATAGAGCGAGAAAGCAGAAATGACATTGTTATGGATATCTATTTGATTATGTTTTATTTTTGAGAGAAGGGAAGAATATGATATTAAGGGAGATCAAGGGAATAAGAGGTTAGATGATTACGTGAATGAATTTCTCAAAGAAAAGGAGACAAGAGGAGAGAGAACAAACATGATAAAGAAGCCTAAAGTCAGGAGAATGGAGGAATGTCAATGAGGAAGAATGGCAAAGTAAAAGGTATTGGTATTTCATTATCTACTTTCACCGCCTAAAGTGCAGACTCTATAGGCTTTAGTAAAAAAATAGAAAATTTTTCTCTAGCCAAATATGAAATTGTAAATCTAGTCCTAAAAAAAGAAATTCTATTTAAATCATTAATAATTAACTTAAAAGGTTAAGAACTGCAATCTCAGAACTAGGACTTGCATTTGCATTAACTTTTCCTGATGGTAAAGAACTCTACTTCAATGAGTTGTGATATGGTCGGGGAAGACTTTAAGGTGGCAATTGTACTACAAACTAGCCGCTTCCATCTTGAAAACGAGATAAATGAAAAAAACGTCACTAAGAATGGATTTTAAATGGGAAATTCAATGTGACAAAGAAGAGAAAAGAATGGAAGAATATCACCATTAATAAAAGTACCAGTAGACTAACGTCACTAACCTTGTAGTAGATTGTCAAGATCACTAGCAAATCTATAGAAAAATATCTCTAGAAACTTGAATGTCTTTGTGCATATTACTATATTTATTTGATGTACCGCTTGATTGAATATGAGTCCCTTTCTTCACAATTATAGTTCATTATTGTGGATTGTACTATTTGAGTTTGGTTGATCAATTGAATTTGGTGTATTGGATTGAATTTGATTAGGTTAAAGATTTTAGAATTGGTAAGATTGGATGGTAATGGAGAAGTAGGTTTGCTTGGAATTAATGGTGATTTATTGGGGTTGAACGATTAGTGAGTTAATGCATGGTTTAAAATTGCTCAAATAGAGGCGCGCCTCAACGCACTTTGACCCCGCAAAGTGTCAAGGTGGATGCTTCAACCCTGCTCTGTGAGGTGTACACCCCAAATCAACAGAGGCGTGCCTCGCCTCACTTCAGCGAGGCGTTCGCCAGCAAAAAAAGATTGAATACATTATTTAAAAACTTAAAACCTAATATTGAGTGAATGCATTATTTCTATGCCTCATTCGTTTCGTTCCTTTTGTTCCTACTCTTCGACTTCGCCCGCTGCACCGCACGTAAGGTGGAGTTTCGAATGATCGCTAAAAGCTCTATGATGTTTCGGGTGCAATCGGAAGTCAGCATAGCTCAACGACGTGCACTCTTATATCGGAAGTCAAGAACATTAGACGACATGCCCTGTTGGTGTGGAAGCAACGACAGACATTTGCTCCTTGTTGCCGTTTCTCCCATTTCACGTGTTTCATTGATCACTCGGGTATGTTGCTATTCACATGCTTCGTTCAGAGAGAATCACTAACACTTAGGATCTTATTTTTGGTATATGTAGATTAGGAAGCCATTAATCATTTAATCCCAATGTTGATCTTTGTATTTATCTTCACTAAGTATGAAACATTTAAAACTTCAGAACAATCAACAACCAATTAGAATATTAACTTGCATGGATTGCTGTTTTATGCATTAGGAGGAGGTTATTGATTGCAATAAATGACTCACCCGCCGCTAGAAATTAATGAGTTTTTGCCTTTAAAATTTTGAGTAAATTAAGTTAAACACATGTATTAAGGAGACTAAAATTGTATTCTATGGCGTTGGAAAACTGAATGATAAGCTTGCAAGCCTGGCGATCTATAATGGTGGTTCCTTGGAGTTTGTTTTATAGCCAAGTTTGAAATAAATGCTGAAATTTTGGGCCCGGATATTCAAAACAAATTTGATTTGGATGAGTTTTATAGTTTTTAAATTTACTTTGAGGCTAAAATCACTAGCCTTTAAAATTTAAAGTAAGCTTAGCAGATGGGCTAAAATCATGTAGATATTTAATGTGCTATTTAAGTTCACAATCACACTAATATAATTCCAAATCTAGGATTGAAGGATCGAGCTTGGGGGCCAATGCGATTAGTCAAATGTTGGCCAATTTTTGTTGTAAATGATTTCAGATTATATATTAAATCTTGGTGTGAAGGTCGCAAGATAGAAAATTATGATATCTCCGTTAGGGGGAATAGTCACACAGATGATGAGAGCTAATACTATGGGATTTTATAAGAGGTCTTATGGTTCTAATATCCGGGTGAAGGGAACAACCTATATCTTTTTAATTGTAAGTGGTTTGATCCAGTGCAAAAATAAGGGTACAAAAGTACACCCACTATATGGTATTACAGAAGTTAAGTGAGATAGGAGATATGCAAAGTATGACCCATTTATCATAGCTAGCCATATAAGCCAAGTATATTTTTTCAGCTACTCAGATAAAGTGCGAGATAAACAAGATTGACTCGTAGTTATAAAAACCAAATCCATAGGAATTATTGAGAGTAATACAACAATACTAGTCGTGCATCAACAGGAAAGTACGTCAAACTTTAAAGAGCCTAATATACCTAGATATAATTTTAATAATAATAGGAATATTTTAGTGACATAGATATAATTGTTATATTTATCTTATATATTTCAGGACTATACATGATTTCGAGAGATCCAGGCTGCAACTGGTGAGTGATCCTCTGCAGGATTGACATATTATTTGAACAACAATATATGGTCATAGGTAGTTGGTGGAATGTTGAAGTACATATTTTATGGATTAGGGTCTCAAGCCCATGCATTTGAGTGACAATCGTCTTGCGCATCAAGCTTCTCATGTAGCTGCTAGGAGGATTTAGCTAGCTAAAAGGTGGCTGCCCTGATAGTAGAACTAGAGCAAATGCAAAAATTACAAGATGATATGTAAATGCAACAGAGTTAGATGCATGATGAGTTGTGCATATTCATGGGGCAATTTCGTCAAAAGCAGCCTACACAAATCGAGGAGAGTGAGGGGATGGAAGAGGATTAGAGTCTGAATGTTTGTTGGTTTTTTATAATATTCAAGAACTGGTGTATTTTGACTATGATTTTCAAACTAAATTACCTGACTATCATTTAGTGCATTTTGAATGATGTTCTTGTGGACTCTATGTTTATCTATTTTACTAGTTGAGTTCATTTATATGAATGATATATTCTTTGGTGGGTTATTGTAGGAGAATTAATGTGGAGTTTTTTTTATTGTATGAGCTACTGTTTTCTGACGGATTTATCGCCGAAAAATTGATGTGACTAAAATACCGTTTGAATTATGACGAAAATATCTGTTGGTAATTCCAATGGATGTTTTTGCTAGAATTCTATCATTATTACATGCAGAATCCATATCAAGACCCACAAGTACAAAATGACGAGAATCCGTTGGTAAAATCATTGACAAAAAAAATCCTATGCAAATTATTTTCCAACCTGTGTTTTACTGATGGAAGTAAAACCATCAGAAATCTGCTGGAAATGACACCTTGTATTCCCTTAGTGTTATATTGTTGCTTTATTTTTATAAATAAGAGAGTCATGCCTTATATTTTGGAATTAATGACTTGAATGAGAAAATCAATTGAAAAAAATATTTCTTTTGGCTTCCCTATTGACTAGTCTTCCTCCCTTTTTGGATTTTGTTATGCTTTGTTCTCTTTCCATAATGTGAGACATAGGCCCGTCCACACAACTACCTAGATAGATTGATTGACAAAATTAATTGAAATAAAAAAATTAATTGTCTTTTGTTATAGACACTCTTTCTCCCTTTTTGAATTTATTCATGCTTCTTCCTCTCTATCTAACATGGGATAGAGCCCCATCCATATTCTATGTAAATTGATTCTAGATTTGGCGCCACTCTTACCACTCTTACTTGTTGATATTATTTTCATTTCATGTATATATATATAGTTATTGCATGATAGGTTTGAAAATGAATGTGGTCGTAGATTTAATTATAGATGTGATGTGAAAAGTTTGTGTGATTTTGAGTGTTTTCAATAATACTTATCTATTTTATCTATAGATAAGGATTTGGTCGTTGATAGGAAGTACTTGTAGATCTAAAGTATTTCCTATCAATCTTCGAAAAAACAAGGTGCTTTCTCTACCAAAATCCACACAAAACCACAAAAACAGTAGATAATTTGTATTTTTTTTTTATGAAGGGGAAACGGAAAATAGCAAGATACACTTGATCCTCTATTCGAGAGGAGGATCGATCTCTCCCAAATCTCTAGACCCCCGCTAGAGCCAAAGAAAATCTAAATCTAGGGGATCTCAAATTTCAGCCAAATTCAAGATGCCCTAACCCTAGAAAAACAAACTATTTAATGCATACAAATCAAAAGGAAATCCCTAAACAATCCCTACATTCAAATTTTCCCATCTCACTAAATCTGTTGTCCACCTTGTTGCTAATTGCATATTGAAATAAGACTCGTAGATACTCTCCACTTGCCTGGAAAGGTTATGTTGACCCCTATCCTTAGGCCGCTCTTGATCCTCCCCATAATACATGTCAACAGAATTATGATCAGTGTTACCAACGTGACAGTGATCCTAATGATTCATCTGGTGCATCAAGTTAGATGCTTCTCCTTTCGATGGTTGCTATGACTCGTATGTTTTCTTGGATTAGCTCATCAAGATCAGGGATATATTTTCTTGGTATATTGTCTGATATTAAACATGCCCACTACAAGCACTAAATTTAGAGGATCTGTCAAATACCATTGGCAGAATGTTCTAAATGAAATTGATTGTATTGGTGATGATCTTATCAACATGTGACAATCTATGTGAGGGCATCTTTGCCAAAATATCCCTAACAATACTATCGTTAAAAAGTAGGCGCCCAATTTCATTATCTGTGAAATCATTCTTTCTGATGCGAGATGCGAAATATCTTCATAAATTTGAATAACTAGTCGCGGGGGTTGCAACTTATCTGAACCAAATTGTGTAATCATGACCAAGTTCAGTATCGGTCTATACTTAGATATCAAAAACGGAGGTTTTAACTTATTTGTCCAAATCCATTGAGCATGCTTATCATTGTGCCATTAAAATTGAGAAATATCATACTGAAAAAACAATCCTAAATAAGTCCTGAGTACAACGAGTTTTCCCTTAATTATGTTGAGTTTATGCTGGTTGAATTTTAAACAAGCATATTCAATTTTCTCTTTCAATTATGTGTTTTGCTTATCTTTATGGTAATCTTTTTTTTGTTTTTGTTTTTGTGTGCGCTTTTTGTACAGTGAAAATGTTTCTACAGAAAGCCTTTTTGGAGGAACTGGTATCGCTGGTGGGAGTTCTCTGCATTCACAACCATCATCAGGATATCAACATGGTTGGACGGGGATTCCTGGTCGTTTTTCAATGGCTGATATTGTTAAAATGGGTAGGCCTCAAGGCAAGCTGCCAATGACCTCTACATCTGCGGGAAATGCATCAAATGTTTCACATCAATTCACATCAGACACGTCTAAGCCTGGCGTCAAGCATTCTGTGACCCATGATCTGCCTTCAGAATTAGATCAGGGAGTTCATTCTTCTCAAGGTCTTCATCAGCAGGCACAAGTTATCAATTATGAACCAGGAACTATTAGTAACAACCATGTTTCTCATGATAGTTGGCCCGCTGCTAATCAGTCCCATCCTGGAACTACTTCGAACATTCTGGAGACTTTTGGATCTGCTATCTCTTATGCTGATACATCTAAGACTGCTTTTGTTGATGAAGTTCAGGTGCATCAGACTTTACGAGATGAATCTCCTGAGCCTGAGAAGAGTGCTGAATCTGATACTTCATCAGAAGAATTTTCAAGGTCTGAAACCATATCCGAAGGGGAAATTGATGAGCACAATTTTGAAGGTAAAATCAAACCATATAATGAATTAACACACAAAATGAATGCTTATCTATCTCAAAGGCATCTATTTGAACAAGGTCGTGGAAATAATTATTTGAATCGGATGCTTCTTTTTCTTTCTGGAATTTTAGCACTTTTATTCTATTAAAGCTTTTCTATCAGAGTTGGTTAGTTTAATATAATATTCCCGCCATTTTTTTTTCTAGTTTTCTGTTATGACAATGTTCCGGGCTCTGACAACGGTATTTCAATGCTTGATGTGTGTAATATATTAGTTTATTGGCTTTCTTATTTGTGTTCTGTCTATAGTTTTTTATCTCCTAGTCTCCTATTTAATGGAAAATCAGTTCAAGTTGTTTTAGTATTATTTTAGAAACACGAGCAACTAGGAGAAACAGTGAATGTTAAGATGTTGATTTGGCTTAATATTGGTTTTAGCTGCTTAAGCAAATCGTAAAGGAGCATTGTTCTGAAGCAGGTGGCGGGATCATTTTTAAACCATTTGCACTATTAATTTTAATAAGTTCTATTTGTGTAACTTCTAATATACGATTGAAATCCTGTACATATTTGGAAATCGGTTTTGTGAAGCTATATCACTGCTATCAATACTATTCAGAATTGGTAGTCAAGTTTTTTAAAGCTATATAAACGCAATCATTGCTGAGGCTCTGTGTTCCCATTGTTGATCTTCTTTCCTTTGTTATTTCTTAAATAAAGCTATTGCATCTCTCGTTGTTGACAGTTTTGTTCTTTTGCAGGTGAGGATACCAATGTAGAAATTTCATCAGCTGCTGCAAACTTGCAGAATCTGAGTATTGAAAAGGTTGGGCTAGCTGGATCAACAGTGGAAGACAACCCTGCTGTAATAATTCCAAGACACCTGCAAATTACTAATGCTGATTGCTCACATCTATGCTTTGGTAGTTTTGGTTCCGGAGTTAGCACTTCCTTACCCAGATCATTACAGCCAAAGCCACTGCACAACAGCTCAGAGGTCATAACAGTTGATGATGTTCGTCCACTTGATCATTCAAATGCCAGGTACATTTCTGTAGGAGTATATTCCAAAGCTACTTAGGGATTATGAAACTTATTTGGATGATTTTCTTGCAGAAACTCCAGTTACTATGATAATGCTGAGCTAAAATCCCAAATAAATGAAGATGTACTTTCTAGAGTTTCTATGAATGCAATGAATTATGAAATATCTGCAGCTTCAGAAGCTGAGGTTATCCGGGATGATGCAATGAATAGCACACGTGAACTGCAGTATAATCTTCCTTCTTTATCTGATTATGGAACTTCAACTTCCACGCAAGAGAGTGATGCAGCATTTGAACATCCGCAAACTAATTTACAAATGCATAATCTTTCCTCTTTGTCAAATATGATGGTAATCAATCTCTTTATCTGTATTCAGTCTAATTATTTATTTAACGTGGTGCTTGAATTTTTAAGGCGTACCTCTAAGGCTCCCAACTTATTCGTAAAGTTAAATATGTTCGGTAATACCATACTGATTCAGATTTTTTTGTCAAAAGTGTGTTTCTACCGTTCTTACAATTTCTGGGAGCCAAGGAAAGGGCTCCATGGACTAGCTGTTTCATTATATGCTAAGCCAGTCTTCAAGTGTTTCCTAGCATACTAACAGAGTTCAATTTACTAAAAACTATGCATATCTATCTAAAGAAAGAAGCCTCAACTTCTCTATAGCGAATTTAAAGCACAAAAGTAAACAATAGATTATATTTCTCGTCATTAATAACAAACGGTATATTTTGTTGAGTCATTGCTTTGCATTAGAAGTTCTCTTTTGTCAGAATGTCATTTTTGAGAAGTCGTGGATATTTTTTCTCAACTTCATAGGAACTTAGCTGTGCGTATAAAACTCTAGCAAGGACAGAATGCTTCACTGAAAGCAACCTTTCTAGAAAAAGCTCACGATGGAGATTTTCTTTTTAACCATCGACTTCATAAAGTTATGGTATCTACATTAATTAAGAAATATATTCGCTGTAGAAAATGTTGAATTCTCCATCATATTCATTTCAAATTCTTTAAAGATAATCAATGAGAACTTATTACATAAAAATTCTTTTATCTTTCCAAATAAAGTATTATCCATATAAATTTTTACAATAATCCTGTCATCACTTATATTTTTGATGTAAAGGGCGGTATCCACTCTACCTTTCATAATCCCATTATCAATTAAAAATGAACTCAAACGATCATATCAAGGTCTAGGAGTTTGTTTTAATCCAAGTTTTCTATAACTTATGCATGATCAGGAAAATCTAAATTTTAGAATTTGAGGGTTGTTTAACATAAACATTTTGGTTAGTCAGAGTGGATCCAGAAGAAAATTTTTGGGAAACTGAGGTTTTACAAAAGCCAAGAAGTAAATAAATACTGCTTAATTCTTTCAATCCTGAATTACCAGACGAACAATTACTTTTATTGTAGTATAAATTGCAGCGGTTATTTTAGGTTTAGCTTAATCTTCAATGTTTGTCAACATTCCATCTGAATGCTTTGATTGCAAACAAATTGCTGTGATGAATATCAGGCTTTTCTGGAGCCTTCTATACCATGAAAGAAAGGAAAGGGGTTGGCTATGCTTATGCTTACGATAAACTTTCCATAGTGCCCGTTGGCATCAAACGACATTTTCCTTTTATTTGCTTGTGTATATAGCTAATTTCTTGCTGTTTACATTTTATTTTTCATGTTCCGCTGTTTACATAGTTGCTATATGAAGATTCTAACCTTTATATTGTTTCTGCAATCGTACATTTCTTGCAGCAGCCATATACAAGTTCGTTATCTAGCAGTTTATTGGCACCTACTATGCCTATCAAAGATGTTGAAATTCCCTTTTCATCTTTACTTACAACCCCATCTGCGCCTACAAAACACAGTGTTGCAACCTCTAACGGCGGGACAACTGTTCCCTTGCAAGAGGTATTTTGTTTTTTGTTTTAGCTTTTTCAGCAGTTATTTATTCAGGTTTGTTTCATTTCTGGTGATTAATTTCATGATTTTAATGTGCCCGAGTTAATTTGTTTGACTTATATTATAACGAGCATACACATCTTTGTGGGATTGCTGATTATTTTACTATTTAAATAATATCTTGTAAAGGATACTCGGGGAGGTTATATATTTGAAACATCCTCAACACTTAAAGGTTAAACGGGTTACATTGAGTATACCGCCAAGATTTCTAATGACATCGATAACTCGTGTCACATGAGAATAACCAAGACTTGTATTTTATCAATACATGAGATTGAGAAGCTAAGGTCTCTTCGAGAATCTTTCTTTTAGGAATGAGTGGTTATAGAATTGGGGAGCCGGAGAACATGAATGATCTTTGCAAAATTAAGAATCAATTGGTATTAAGGATGCCGAGGAGGCTTGTAGTGCCAAAATATATGCCAAGAGGAGACTCACAGATTTAACCTTATGTCCGAATTTCATTAATTCGGAAAACTTCAATTTCACTAAGAACACGCTCAACGACCTTCAACCACCAAGAATGTTTAAGGAATCTAAACATAAAGAAATACTTGGGTGCAGGGTCTACAGTATGGATGAATAATGTCAATATGATGTTCAAACTAGAAATGCTCAAATTAACGTATCACTTGGAATAGGAAACTTTTCCACTTTTGGGCAACTTTCCTTTCTCAAGTCACCGAAATTTGATAGGATGCCGAAAGTAAAGTGGCTTGAAAATAGAGCAAATGGGGATAATGCATACTAAAGGTTTTATATATTTGCAAACATTGGAGGATTGGTTCGAGGCAGGAATGACTGTTGAAGGGGGGTGTTTGTTCCTTAGCTTAATTGAACTAAAGATATTTAAATGCCCGAAGTTGAAAGAGCTGCCCTCTTTGCCTCCTAAGCTCAGGACAACTCAAATCATACTTTCCTTTAAAATATTGAAGGTCTCAAACTATCAAAACATCACATTTCTTCATTTAGTTGATGAAACAACGAGACTTACATCACTAAGACATCAAAAAATTTAAATTGCCCCGATCCGATCTCTCTTGGAAGATATTGATAAGTGGAGATTGTTAATAATCGACTTCTGATGCTCAGCAATTTCATTATAAGGGGATCCATTGGTGTTGCTAACGGATACATTAAAAAGCATCGCCTGCTTATAAAGGCTGATTATCATGAATAATGATAACAAGGAATTAATATTACTACTTTTTTTATTAAAAAAAAAAGAAATTTAAAACTCAAATAAAAAATCAGATTTTTAACGTCAAACGAAGTTTCAAATCGCATTTAATTTGTTACCTAGTTGAATAAAAATCCCGTGCAAATCTCTGTTTTGAATCCCATAAATCCTACCGCAATTCCCACTGAAGCGAAAACCTCAGACATGCGTCCGCTCGATCACATCGTTTGCTGGTGCTAAAAGGAGAAAACGAGCCTTATCCGAATTTTTTTTTTTTTTTTTTTTTAACGCTTAGAGCTCCAACGCCTCCTATAAAAAATATCCCTAAGCCTGCATCGATCTGGCCTTGTCCCACGACCCCGTCCTTCTTCCTCTCTGTTCGTCACTTGCAGGAAGCCGAACACCACGACTAAGCCACACAAGCCATTCCTGCCTCCTACTCAACCTGGGATTAGGATCCTGCTGCAACAAAAGCCACGAACTCCTCTGTGCGAATCAACCTTTCCTTTCGTTAGCCAAATACACAAATCTTCATGCCCTTCTTCATTCTCCCTACTACAGTTGCCGATCCTTTCCTCTATCTTTTATCAAGCTACATTCCAAGTAAAACCTTTCTCTACCGTAGCTATCTTAAGCGGTTCCACCTTCAACGAAACACCTTTCCTCCACAAGTGTTTGCAGCAGGTTTTTTTCCTAGTTGTGAATCTCTTAGGTAAAAATCCTATTGCCGAGCTCCCTGTTTATTCACATTGCTTGTGTCTATTTGTAGCTGAATAAAGCTCACCTGCTCCACTTTATCTTTCACGTGACCTACAGCAGCCTTCTACAGCTCCAAATCTTCACTTTATTCCAAATAACTCCACCCAACGTGCCCTTTTCACAAAGCCTGTAGCCCACTTCACATAAAATCCCCTCAAGCCTTCCAAAGCAGCCTCTCACAACCAAGTTCAATGCCAAACAATTATCTCGCAAAATAAAATAAAATAAACAGTGGACTTTGGTGCCATTTTCTTCTTAGTTCCTCTTATGCTTTATTTTATAAGCACTATTAGTTAAAATCTCATTTCTATGCTTGCCATTGTTGGTTCTAAAAATAATACATATATTTTAAAAAAAATTCTGTAGCTTTATATATATATATATATATATATCAAGGTTTAATATTTCATATTCATGCTTATTATTTTATATTTTTTATATAGCTTGCGCCATATTCAAAATAGCGCGCGCTGCGCCGTGCGCTATGCGCCATGGCTTCAAATGGACCTTTGCGCCATGGTGCGCCATTCGCCGTTAACAAGTATGGACTTGAACATAAATGAGACTCAAATGATTAACTAAAAAAATTGGACCTAAATGGAATAAACTTAAACTTGAACTTCATTTGAGTATTAAAAGGATGTAACTCAAACAATCATGACTCAAACTTGCATTTCTGAACATTGAACTAGAGCTATATAAACATCTATAGGAAATTGAACTCAATTTCGAACTAGATTCGAGCTCAAATGGGCATTGAACAAATGATTTAAGTTAAAAAGTTCAACATTCAAATTGAGAGCCATGAATGTTAATCAATGAATTTGATCATGCAAATAAAATTCTATGAATAAATAAGAGACTTATATTTCAAAAGGGCATGAATTGTTGATTCATTCAGGAGGAATAATGCAAGTCCTCAATGAACTTGATGACTTACCAATGGTCATATACAAAAAATATGCAATGATCGTGACCATTTACATGCAAGCATATGTTGAAGACTTGTGGTGGATAGAATAATGCACCTATAAGCATGAACATGAATCTATTGCACATAAAATGATCCACTTACAAGCAACCGCAAGAAACTTATGAATTCTGTGAACGACTGTGAGACATATACAGGTGAATGTGCTAATGTTCTATGATCGACTTCAACGAACAAATGCATTCAAATCTGCATGGAATGAAGATTGAAGTTGGGGGCAATCTTCATGCCCATCTTACAAGAAGACATAGTATTCCCTAAAAACAATGAAGACCCTTTCAAACTACAAGCTATGTTCAAGGATAATGAAGATTGCATGATCTCTAGCATCATTTACTCATAAATGATAGTGAAGGTTCATGCAAATTGTTTGGCTTGAACAATCCACAAGGAGCATGAATGATTGTGACAATTAATATACAAGCATATGCTAAGTTTTTGTGGTAAATCAATTCTCAATTGCACACAAACATGACAAGTGATAATGGATTTGTAAAATACATATGAACTATTCATGAATGATGATAAGAATCATACAATTGGTGAGGAGCAAGAACCTATCATACACACAAAGCCTAAGCTGCATGCAGAAGAATAAAACTTGTAGTTTGAATGTTGTAGTTTGTGGAAGGACAAGGTCAACAAACTTTGATGAAAGTATTAACATTGTCACTAGATATTATTCCACAAATAATATCAGGAGAATTGCAATGAACATGGATGCTTACCGTATTAGAAGATTCATGATGAATGTTTACAAGCAACTATAAAAGACTTGTGAGTGTCCATGAACGATGACGAAATACATACAAGTGAATACATAGCTTTCAAACACAAACAATAATCCTTCCACAAGTGATTGTAGGAGACTCGTAGGCATAGCTGTCAATAGCGCGCGCTATAGCGCACGGCACGGCGCTGCACACCTACGGCGCAATGTTCATGGCGCGGCGCAGGTGTTGAAAATAGCGCACGCTATTTGCGCCATATGTGCTCCATGGCTCTTAGCACAAGGCGAAAAATAGCGCGCCAAATTTTATTTAGTAATATTTAATATCCTTATGAATATTTTTTAAATTTATTTATTTTTATGTTAAAATAATATAATTTATACTTTTAAGATATAAAAACTTTCGTTGGTTGCCCTAGTTTCACGAAAAGAGGTCTCTGCTTTCGGCCGAATCCTCTCTCCGCCGAATCCAGTCGTTTGCTCTCGCCTTCTCGCACGATTCGATCGATGCGAATCCATCTGGTTCTCTCCGCCGAATCTAGTCGTTGCTTTCGTCGTTCGCTGGTTAGTCGTTCGCTCTCGTTCCGCCGAATCCAGTTCGCTGCGAATCCTCTCTCCGCCGAATCCAGCCGCTGGTTAGTCGTTCACTCTCGCCTTCTTGCACTATTCGATCGCTGCGAATCCATCTGGTTCTCTCCGCCGAATCCAGTCGCTGCTTTTGTCGTTCGCTGGTTAGTCGTTCGCTCTCGTTCCGCCGAATCCAATTCGCTGTGAATCCTCTCTCCGCCGAATCCAGTCGCTGGTTAGTCGTTTGTTCTCTACTTCTCGCACGATTCGATTAGCTTGAATTAAGTTTAATAACGACTAAAATCTTCTCAACTTGTACAAAAAATTGAAGTTTAATAACTTTCTTAGAAAATTTTATCTTTTTAAGCTTAAAGACGAATTGAAGAGTGAGTACCATTTCCTACATATCTTCAAAATCACTATTAATTTTTCAATTCTACTCACTAGATTGACATCACTGACTCCACAACACAACTTGTTTACTGGACTAGACATCTCAAAGTTTGCAATCTTGTTTTGGGATTTAGTTTTTCATTTGGTGTATATGGTTGATTTTCTCATTTCCTGTGAACTTAATTTGCCAATGGAAGGTTCTTTTCAACAATAAATACTTCTTCATATCTTTCTCTTGTAGAGGATCTTATTTAGTCAGAAACTTTCTCATGAATAGGAACATTGCTTAGCACAATTTCTCAACTTGTATCACTAAGAAGTTGATC